CATCTGTCCACTCATCTTCAGCTCTTCCTTATGTAGAGCTGGCACATAAAGTACAGGACTCTTGGTTACATTTGAATTGCAGATAGGAATCAAATGATATTTAAGTGTAAGTGTATCCCATGCATGAAAACTCAAATTTAACTGTGCATGCTTTATTTTTATATGCTAAATCCAGCAACCTTAGTTAGGCCAAATGCAAACAATACATCACACGCTTGGTTTTTGATCTATTTAGAAGAGCTTCCTCAGTACCCACAAAAAACACAGCCCTGCAGTATATCCAGAGGTTTCCCTGAGACCAAATAGGGCAGCCAACATGTTCAGTTAAACCTGGAGTTTATATTGGAATCTGGTTATTCATCTCTGAATGACTGTGTCCCTCTGTGCCAGGCAGGGAATTGACATGGTGTCAGACCTAGTCCTTTGCTTCAAGGAGCTCATGCTCATTTCTCCTTCATTTCTTGTCATATCCGAGCACTTTCACCTCCAACTCTTTTTTTTTTTTTGCAGTTTTTGGCCCGGGGCAGAGTTTGAACCCACCATCTCTGGCATATGGGGCCGGTGCCCTACTCCTTTGAGCCACAAGTGCCACCCCTCACCTCCAACTCTTTACATCTGTCAGGATCAACCTCTTTCATCTTCTCACAAACATCTATATTCTCTTCCCTTCGGTCCCTGTGCTGCTGCCTGGAATGCCTGTGGCCTCAAGCCTTTGGTTTGTCCTGAAATCTCCTACCTAAGCCTCCTTCCTTCCTTCCCTCCCCAAGCCCAGCACCAGTGCAGACAGTGCTCTGTGTCCATGCCCAGACTTCGCCACTTGCTCCATGGGCCACTTCATTGCCTCCCGCACCAGACTGAGGGCACAGGCTGCATCTGGCTAGATGACTTCTGAACACCTGGTGCTCAATAAAATGTGTCCAAACGAATACAAGGTCAGAGTAGAGAACTGAGAAATTCTGAGAAATTATTCCGAGAACTGCAAGAGATGTCAGGACTGCCATGAAGGGCATGTGAAGGGCAAACAATTAAGGGAGCCTCTGAGACATCCCAGGTTCCCCGTTTTATCCCACAGCCAGGATCTCAGAGAGATGAAGCAACTCCGACGTGCTGCACCTTCCTGCCCTCAGTAGCTGTGGGCCATTATCTGGTTCTGCGGATCAGATTTCCTAAACCAGGCTAAAAGGTGCTGAGGAAGGACTATGTCCCAGCAGGTTTGGGCAGGGCAGCTGAGGTGGGCCCTAAAGGATCCCAAGACCTTGGCAGGGATCCTCTAGACAGAGTTTGCTCTTTCTGTGACTGTGTCCCACTTGGGAAATAATGCCTAAGCCAGGGCCCAAGTCAGCAGCAAATTGGGGTTTTGTGGCAGCCTGAAGTTTTTACAATATGGAGACATGCTTTAAGGAAAAAAAATCCTTCTATCTATATACGTATGTATATAAAATGACAAATATAAATATACAGGCTTTAGCAGGGACCACGGGAGTCCACGCTGATAGTGACTTTGGAAGAAAATCTGTGTTTATTCACAAATACTTAGTCCTCATATTGGCCATTCATCAGAACTACCTCCTTGGAAAATAAGTTGACAATAGCACTCCCCATGCCATCCCAGATCTGTTGACGCTAATCAAAAGTGGGCAGCTGGAAGGGCCCGATGAGTCCCATTTACCCAGAACTACTTCCTTATATTAGGGAGCATAAAGGAATGTGGGGAGGGGCGGATGTGGGAGGTCAGTAAACGAGAGGCAGGGGGCGATTTTGCCTATGGCTGATTCTGAGCATGTTCAGAACTGTGACTTTTCAACTGGTTCCTAACACAGGTGAATGTCTTCATTTTAGCACGTCTAGGGAGGGGAAGGTGATGCATGCAGTAGATTTATGCATGCAGGAGTGACATGAAAGGAGAGGGGTAGGGCTCGCTGGGTACCAGTGAGATGTGAAGCTGAGTAAAAGGGA